AAAATATATATTTTAACACGGATGGAGCCATTTTATTTACGTGCAAAGCATTCTGGGTAAACAATAACATAAACTAGGTCATCGGTGCGAGGGTGTGAGGGAGCTATATCCACCCTGAAGGTTAATCTTGGACAATATCTGATGATCGACTCTTTTAAATGAAACCAGAGAGCGTTGACAGAGAGGAGAAGGTAGAAATGACTCAGCCTGGAACTGAAAATATGGATGGAGGACCTCAGCTTAGCTTGTTAGTTTGTCGCGCTAGCACCGAACTAAAACATATTAGGATATATAGCGTTGGCGCTAAAGCTAAAAAGGCTAAGCTGGGGTTCTTCTAACATGAAGCAGCTCTGTTGTCCTCCATCTATATTTTCAGTTACAGGCTGAGTCATTTCTACCTTCTCCTCTCTGTCAACGCTCTCTGGTTTCATTTAAAAGAGTCGATCATCAGATATTGTCCAAGATTAACCTTCAGGGTGGATATAGCTCGCTCACACTGAGGACCTATCCATGTCATCATTTACCCAGAAAGCTTTGTGTGTAAATAAAATGACTCCATCCGTGTTAAAATATATTTAAAAAATTTTACAAAACTTAACAGCCTACAGTATTTTTACAGTTAAAATAAATGTTTAGACATTATTTTAAAGGGATCCACGATTAGTTGTAACATTAGACTTTATTTGATAATGTTACACATAATTGTGGATCCCTTTAAAAGGACAGATAAGTCTGTGGGTTGGGGTCTCACCTAGGTAGGCGGTTTTCTTTTGTAGGGTTGTTACAGGACAGTCTTTGTGGGCCAGCAGCAGCTGCTTCAAATGAGCCACCTCATTTCTCAGCAGAGACACCTCATTCTGAAAAGAGAAAAGAAAAAATAGGTTATAGCTCACACTTCATTTATTGGTAACACTGCACAACCAATCTTATGTTTTAATATAATTTTTTATTTCCCTTGATGCATTTTAATGCATTTCAACTCTAATATGTTCTTTATGCTGTTTTGATTCCAGAACATTTAAAGTTCAAAGTGGAAAAGCAGGTTTACAAAAAAAATAATAAAATAAATACCACAAAAAAGATCTGAAAAAAAAAAAAAGTCATAATGACTGCCAAGGTTTCAGAACTGCAACGCAGACTGTTTATAAATCCAGCCAGTATTTCCTTTAACTGACACTGTTCATCTGGAATAAATCTCGCAAACTTCCAAAACTAGTTGGAGGCTTATAAGCGTGGCGTTTCATCCCCGTCCGCCCACGCCACACCCACTCACCGACAGTGAGATGTTCAGAGAGCTGAGCTCCTCGGCCTTCTTCTCCAGAGAGTTGACCCACAGTTTGCGTTTCTGTCTGCAGCGCGACGCCGCCGCCCTGTTCCTCTCCAGGAAGCGCTGCCTTCTCTCATCTGGGTCATCGTCTAACGTCCGCCGCCGACGCCCACCTGTAGGCTGCGCTGGAGATACCTTGAGGGAGAAAACGGCAAGAAGTCAAAAGGAAACAGACAGACACAGAAAGGCGAGGGGAACGGAAGAGAGGAGAAAGAAAGGGGAAGTTTGAGTAAGTTTCATTATTTTTAAGTGCATGAAGAACGACATATGGTTTCAGTAAGTTTAAAAAAAAGTTGCATTTTTTGCTTCATAGAGTCAGGTATTGAAAAAGAAGTACCTGAGGTTGTGCGGGTGATGGAGCATCTGGGTGCTGGACAAGAAGCTGATTCTGCTCTGCCTTCTGAGGTACCATGGGGCTGCTGCCCATGGCCATGACCCCCAAACTCTGTCCTGATGGGCTCTGCTGGGACAGGGCAGCCTTCAGACGCTGCGGGAATACAATCACATGTGCTGCGTCAAAAACAAACTCAGGAAGTGGTATTCATGAGCCAAAGTGCCAAGTTTAAAAATATGAAAAAAAAGAAAGCTTCATGTCTGGAACAAATCAAACACAGAAGAAGCAGGTGGTTAAGACTTAAAGCAGGAACAGCCTGAACTAAGAGCTGATTTGAGCTCATTTTTGTTTGATCATAGTCATTGTTCAGTGGTGAAATGTGTGATAAAAGTGTATTTATAGTAGAAAAGTCGAAATTGTGTAATTTTTTTGCCTGCAGCATATTCATGTGACATCCTGCTCTACCTCAATCTCTTTGTACTGAGTTCTGTTCTTGAGGCGTTGCATCATCTGAGGTAAGTTTTAAATCATGTTGCTCTGATTTATCTTTGTCCCCAAGAAAAGAATGATTTCAAAGCGATACGGATTCATCCAAGGAACACATTTAGTTTTATGTTTTAAAGGAGACATATCATGCTTTTAAATCCTCCTTTTTCACAATTAAATCATTCAGTTGGGGTCTATATAAAGTGGAAATGCAATGCTTTGGTCTGAACTCATCCTTACTGTAACTCCACAAGCCCCTCTTTCACCCCTTTTCTGAGGTGTGTCTCAGATCAACTCGGTTTGATGCTGTCTCTTTAAATCCAAATGAGTCGCCCTTCCTCCAGCTTTCAGACCGGTCCATTGTACTTTGATCGAGGGGTTTTCGACTATATAGCTGTGCAGAAACTTTTTATCTACGAATTAATTAAAAGATGACAACAACAGAAGAGGAGAATGAAGAGGAGAAAACTGTAGTTGGTAAGTCCAGACCTTATTTTACACTTATTTTTGACTTATTTTACAGTTCCATCACAAATAATTTGACGTAACAGTTCAGAAAACATCATAGAAGATAAAGAAAACTGAACGGGTTGAAAAATATGATCCAAACAGAATATAAAGTTATCTATGCAGCACCAGGAGAGACTTTATTAAACTTTTGTGTACTCGTAGAGACTCCAAGTACGCAACAAAATGCATTTAATGGCTAAAAAAGTGGATTTTGCATGATATATCCTCTTAAACTTAGCAGACACTTGGCTGAACTAAAAGATACATATTTTAGTTGCAAACAAGCTTTCTCAMGTTAAAATTTCATCCATAGTTCTGTGTGTGCACAAGAGTTTAAGAATCTCAGAAACTGTGTTGTTGAAAGGGTTAAATAAACAAGTTCCTGCAGAGAAGAGTCAGATGATGAAAAAACTCAGCCTAGAGGGTGAAGATGGAGAGAAGAAGARATAAAAAAGGAATAAAAATAGAAAGCTAATCTAGCACCGACCATCTTGGCCTCTGTGTGGATGCTGTAGCCAGAGGGGGAGTTTGAGCCGCTGCTGCTGCCTCCCAGAGGGGGACCAGGGATGCCAGGAATGTTGGGTACCATACACATGGGTCGGGCCAGCTGGAGACCATATAGATACGATGCATAAATACACGTGAATTAAAACCTGTCCAACTTCTTGACTGTAAAGTTACCAGACAGCAGACCGCCTTACGTTAATAACAGATGGTATATGAACAGGACCAGGGAGCAGAGGAACCGGCTGACCAGAGGGAAGCATCATCATCGGGTAATGGCTGGTCGGTGAACTAAAAAAAAAAAAACCCCAGCAAATATCAGTCATATTTCTTTAAAACAACATTCACACATACAGTAAAATATTTCGCTGAATATTCATGAATTTGCACCGCTGAAGCTGTGTTCTTAACACATTTTGCAAAACTGAAGAAGTGGAGGACAAAAGAAGAAGTAGCAGATATAAATAACCCTCAACGGCAGAAAAACAGTGTCTTAAAGGGATGTCCTTAAGTAATGGAGACAAAAAAAATTCAGCAGACTTTAAAAAAAGGATCAAGTTTTAGTTGATCAGTTTATTGTTTGCCAAGCATTCTTTTGGGTTTTCTTTGACTTTTTTTTTTAAAGCTAACTAAAATTGATGAAAGTGTGTGTTTGAGAAAAGCTGCTCAAAACAAAAATACCAGAAGTCGTGATTTAAAACGATGCCCCTGTATGCTTCATACTTGAAATGGTAAATCACCTGAACTTATGTAGTAGTTTAAGTCACTACAGACTCCAAAACCCTTTACACTACAGTCATTCACACACTGATGTAATAAGCTACATTGTAGCCACAGCTGCCCTGGGGCATACTGACAGAGGAGAGGGTGCAATTTAAGGACTAAAACTTTCAATCTATGCAATTAATCACAAGATATTTTTGCGATTAATTGCAATACAYTTTTTAGAAACGATCGCTCTACTATGGCTGAATGTGTAGGTTTGTATGTTGCAATACACTMCATGTGTGACACACTATGTACAGTTTTTACTTTTGTTTTTCTTTTTTCTTCTTATTTATTTATTTATTTATTTATTTATTTATTTATTTATTTATTTATTTATTTATTTTTGCTGACAACTGTGGCCTCAGTATCTCTCTTTCATTCCTCATGCAGTACGCATTTGGAATGAAAAGAACAAAATCCTTGAATTCTTGATTTAACCTCATTATTCTGAACAAAATTTAACTGACTCACAGATGTTTGGAGCATTTTTAGGTAATGTAAATTTAAAAAGGGGCAATGCATTTTCAAAAACTTTAAACAAATAAGACAAAGCAAGCCGGTCTTACTTTTTCCTTTTTTTGTCTTCTCTAACACGCTGGCCAGCGTCGCCTGCGAATCTCCTTCTGTTTGTTTATGCTGGTTTTAAACTCAAGTGATATTTCGGGCTTAAACTGCTCCGGTGGTGAGACAGTTCAGCGTTGCAGCGCTTACAGAGAACTTTACTTCTTTCAAGCCTGCAGTAAGGATAAGTTTTTAATAAATACGTCCTGAAGAAGCTGGTGACTTCCACCATGTGTCTGCCCTGGCTGCAACTCAACCGGGTTCATGAGAGCAAAGTCAAATAAACCTGGGCATGGTAACAATATTTATTATGCTAATTTGATCCATTTTTAATACACTAACCTCACTCTTTTATAACAACTAAGACAAAAAATTGCTGTTAGTAGTCATTTTTAAATGCAATTAATTCAATAAAATATTTTAGGATCCCATCTTGATGTTTTGAAACCCCACTGTGGGTCCTGACCCCAACCTTGGGAACCACTGGTCTATAGCTTTTTTGCTAAACTAAATGCAAATTTCCCCACTGAGATACAAAGGATTATTTTGATCTATATTATTTTCTATGAATGAGCAAAACTATGGATGTGTTTAAAGTTTTGCAGCTCCAAAAATACAATCAAGGCAAACTTAAACATTATAGTGTCGGAAAAAGWATGTTGTGCTTGCATTTTAATGAGTTTCTACATGCAGGAACAAAAAAAGCAGAAAAGCAGAATGATGTAACTGTACTGTATGGTGTTTGTTCTGCTTAACTTATGTTTAAATGTAATCAACAGCTTTAAAGATTGTTTTGAAAAAAAAAACAAAAAAACAAGACAATATTTAACTGGTCAACCAGCCTTGTTGCTTCAGTGGGGTTTTTTTCTAACAAGAATTAGAGGTCAACAGAGGTCAAAAGGCGGATGATATTACTCACCCTAAAGTGCGATTTGAAGGTGGTGCCTGTGTGATGACAGAGGTGGGGGACGGCATGGTGGGATGAAGAGCATCAAAGCCCAAGTGTAGTGGAAGAGAACCGGGTCGCACAATAGTTGGGGTGGGGGCTGAGTGCCTTGGTGGTGTGTCCTGAGAGATAAGCAACAAATGAATGCAAAACATGCATAACAGCTTTGAGACGTTTTAAATATAAATAAATAATAATAATTTCTTGTCCTATTTGTTTTAAAAGTAACACTGACATTTTTAATCACTATTTGTGCAACATTAAAGTCATAAATGACATGGTTACACTCATCCTCTCTGTACCCTCATGCAAACCATCCTCTTTTCATGTGTACTACCTTTGCTTTAATCATAGGCTCATTGTTGCTGTCTGATGTTCCAGATAGTGACTCGGGACTGCCTGGTGGCGAAGAATCCACTTCCACAGGTTCCTCCTTCTTCACCTTCACGTCTGACGGGGTCTGCAGGCTCATGTCCAAAGCCACAGAGTTGGCTGCAGGAAGCTGAGAAGTCACAGAGATCAAGACAATTCAGTTCTCATGGTCAAGAGACATTATATAGAAAAAGGAAGTAAGAAATCATTACACAGACCTACCAGTCACAACTGGTAACACCAGAAACTCATATTTTTAGCGCAATAAAACACAGAAGCCTCCGAATAAAAGACTCTTGACAAACTGCTGCAACAACTGAAATTCTAATGATGCATAATAAGTGTGCAAGGCAGGAATTTCAAGCTGTAATTTTTGACTAAATCAGCATTTGAGGTTTTAAAAAAAGGAACTAAAACAACGCTGTTGTTTTGTTTTTCACATAATGGAATCCTGCAGAAACCTCCTCTGGTTTCTGAACATAATAAAACATGCAGAGATGAACATGCACACGGCGGATAAAGACATCATCTGTTTTTCTTACAGAGTTCTTGGCTCTCTTCTCGTCATCGTCTGCATCAAAAGAACTGGCCAGCTCGTTGAACAAACCAACTTCCTCGCAGTTCTTAAGGAAACGGGTGGGGGTGGGTGTTTGATCTGGGAAAAGGTCACAAAAACAAAAGAGATGACTATTAAAAGCCATACTTTTGCACTTAATTCACACTTAGCATTTAGTAAAAAAAAAAACAGTTCACACAGAGTTAGAACAGGTAACTCTCAGAATTGTGCAAACCTTTGCACATTTTCTGCCAACACACATCATGTACAGCTATAATATAACATGCACTTAGTTATACTGAGCTTTAACCATACGAATATCAGTCATAATAATATTTACTTTTGTTAATACTATATTACTATCCCATGTCTTCTCCTGTTTCTTTTTTGTTCATTGTATTATTTTGCTGTTTTTGTRCCATTACACATGGTTCTTCTGAATCACGTAATTGAATCGTCATATTTGTGGACGCTAACGGAAAAGGGAAGTATCATTTATGCAGCAGTACCAGAGTTTCCTCTAGCGTATTATAGCCCAAATGTCTTTGACCCCCGCCAGGCATCAAAGACATTCAGAGCCAGCTGAGATTTTTCCTGATTTTTTTWATTTATTTATTTTTTTGTGCCACTGGACATTGAGACAACAGTGTAAGTGGCTAGGACCTAGCATTAGCTACGTAGCACTGGTGTGATTTATGACAGTGGCGTGGTGTGTCCTAGTAGCGTCTGTTTGCCTCATTCAATGCAATTTTTTTTTCTGTTTTTGTAGCTAGCTTTTGTGGTTCCTCCATACTTGTTTCCTAGCTACAAGCTAAATGCTAGCCCTCAAACATGGCACGGTATAGCAGTAGACGGTATGCAGTGCATACGTCGTCATTTTTAGATAAATGATTTCTTGTTTGTTTGTTTGTTTGTTTGTTAGGTCACTTAACACTAACTTGATAATCATTCAAGCATAAAAAAGGCAGTTAGCTGAGAATGATAGTATTTTGTGAACACGTCACAGTCAACATAGCAATAAAATCCATTTTTAATTGGATCTTTTGGGCACTTTGTTTCTACACAATTAGTTTTTTTGTTGTTGTATCAATAAAAATATCAAAAACAACATAGTTTGACACAAAAAATAGAATTTTAGCACCAACAAGGGGATTCCCAAAGAGCTATTAGTTGTAAACTTGACATAAAACAGATGATCAAGTGAAGGATGATGCATCTCAGTCTGTCTGGAGAAAAATTTTCTCATATTTCTTAATGACAGGGCTTTCAGATACTGGGACACTTTTCCTTGTTTAGACCACTTTCTTTTTTTAGATCATGTCTACTGCTAACATGTGCCAAGTTTACTTTAAAATCATCTTGTTTTCTTGTTGCCCCACTTGCTAATTAGTGCTGTTTTTGACACAAAAAATCTTTGTCTAAATATCCAAAACAATTTTTTTTGTCTAGTGTATGAAGTGTATCTTGAGTCCTTTTTGAGCTCAGATGATCCTTAGGGCAGATTTTTAACTAGACAGGCACACACAAAATGTTAAGTCACATAAAAATTTAAAATAAAACCCCCTTGAAAAATCTTTAGATGGCAAAACAAAACAAAAACACTTTGCTTAACACCGAGTCAAAAGATTACAAGACCAAGGATTTAGAAGCAACATTTGAAAAAATTAAAGTGGTGGAAGTAGACGTAGCGTGTAAACACAGCCAAAGCTGAATTCTGGGAGCCAACATTTAACGTTACCTGCGATGATAACAGAGTCGGTTCTGGCAGGTCCAAACTTCAGCGTCATCTCATGCTTGTGTTTGTGAACCGCCAAGTGGTCCTCGTTGGTAAACCTCTGGAGCAAAGTGAACAAGAAGAAGAGAGAAGAATACGACGTAAATTAGCTGAAAGATAATTGTGTCCTGGTGACATGAGCAGACCGTTTAAGTGTAACCCAGATATCATATTGTCATAATCACAGACAGATGTAGCACACCACTTTACTGCCCATACAGTACAAACTACTTGACTAAGAAAACTGTAGTATGCAATTTCTGCCTTGTGTAGGGCTCATTATATGCAGAGGATGGGGGCTCAAATAACCTCATACCAACCTAAACATTCCTAAAAAAAATAAAAGGATGAATGTGGATGAAATTCCATGAAATGATTTTAATGGCACAGAAAATGTAGTGAATGAGCCGTGGAGCTGGTCTCAAATATACAACAAATTATCAGCAGTCATATATATTTAGAGTTTAACCACATATCCACATATTTTGTTACTTCCAATCAAGTACTGCATTGAGCTACAGGACGTCTGGCACAGATACAAATCAGACATGCAGAGGAAAGAGAACAGCCGTCCTCTGAGACATGGAACGTCTTCTCCTGACAAGTGGCAATGTGATTCACCCAGAGACGTAGGAGGAATAATCTCTGGCAACAACCGATTCACTGTTCGCCGCAGCCTATTTTAGGGCGGCGCGCTGCAGTTAGGAGTTCAGTCGGGAGAGTGAAGTGGAAACACAGTCGAGTGTCAGGAGCCTTATTTTTAGCCCCACCAGAACGCATCACAGATACGTCTACATGTCCCGTCTGTCCCCTCCCTGTGAACAAGACGACTAGATCTTGTGGAGAAAACTATCCCCTACTAATCTCCATGAGTTAGATAATATCAGCTAGGACTGCCATGCAAGAAATAGTGAGCATCATATTTGGGGGGGGCGGGGGGGTCTGCTGATATTATTGTTGATGTCAACTTTGTCAAAGGAAAACCCTGAGCAAAGCCAAAAGTCAATCATCCTTGTTCTATTATGGGCACGATTCAGATTTTCCCGGTAGACAACTGCTGCTTATAAAAGGGCACCAGTAAAACTGCATCTGGACGTTAAGACCTTGTAATGTTAGGGATGTTCCGTATCTAACACAAATAAATAAATATGATCATAGTGATATTATTTAAGACCTAACAACAAAACAACCGCTCACTGAACCTCAACTTTAGAAGTTCAGGGCCCGTATTTATCAAACTTCTTAGAGTGGAATTTTAGACTCAAGTGCTGAGAATTTCTTAGATTTACTCCTACTCTCAGACTTAAGTGTAAAAGTCTAAGAATCAYTCTTACTCTCCCGAAAAGTTAAGACAGCTCCAGAGGTCTCTTAAGTGGTTAGGAGTTGCCACTACGGGTCTGAGATGGACTRAGAGGACAGAGATGACAGCTGTGTCCTCCTCAAGAATACTCTGCACCAGCGGTGGATGCTGGTCTTTCAAGGAGGGGAAGCTCAGTTTCAGCCTACATCATAAAATGTGTCGGTTTATTAACACAAATTCTACCCTCCATTCTTTTTCAAGGTGGAGGGGTGGAGGGGCTCAGCAGCACCCATTGGACAGAAACTGCGATAGAAGTCAGAAAGTGACAGAATTCAGTCTCCAAACACAAGCAGCTATAAAAAAAAATCACCAGAAATAGAAACTTGATTTGTTGCTAGTCATTTTTAACAAACAAAATGCCGCTAAGAGGATTAGGAAAGTCTCCGGTTCAACTCAGAACAGAAACAAAAGTAATAAAAAATGCTCCCACGGAATGTTTACACCATAAGATTGCTGATTCGCTCATTTCGCTGTCAATCAAAAAGGGCTCAGACAGATCATCCAATCATCATGMAGATGCTGAGCGTTCGAACCAGCYGAGKCGAGCCCACTGCCCCATAGACCCCCSAGAGACACTGAATGTCTGATGGGCGGGACAAAGCCCAGCATTTATCCAATGACTCAACTTGTTTCCCTGCACTCTTTGCTTCGCTATTGAACTCTGTGAACGCTCAGCGTCCGCAATGTTTAAAGCACTGTGAAGCTGCGGGAATGAGTGAGAAGAAATCTGCGTCGTTACCAGTGATAAGAAGCTGATTCTGAACAAAAGTTGAGCGTGTTGTAGCACATATTTAGTCATGACATGTACACACAACAGTATATATTTGATCACTTATTTTTTTGACATTTTAGGGGAAGCTGAGCTTCCCTTGCAGTCTAAGAGCAATCGCCTCTGCTCTGCACCACCTTAGAAACTGCACTGAGTGGTCCAGGTGTCTCCCACCCGAGTGTGATTTTCAGTTACAATGTACAGAGGAACTTAAATAAGGTGTGGAAAACAGGTTTAGTCATCAATACAAAAGAAAAAAGGGGAGGGAAAAAAACAATTACCAGTGCCGTAATGTTGGACTAAAAGGTGGAGTGAAAGCAGACGACATGATGTTGTCAAAAGTCTGGATTTTAAATGTTTTCGCTCCRCTGGCGAAGGTGGGATTGAACTTTTCTTTTATTATGTTTTCTTTCTTTAACTCAAACTTCACTAAATCTTTTAATTTCATAAAAGACAATTTTTAAAAATCTGCAGCGTCGGCATGGTGGTGGYGGGGTCTCGGACCAAGCGGATGACAGAGCGGTGTGTGTGAAGGGGGTGTYGTCTGCGAGTAGTTTAGGGAAGAGGACGAAGAAGAGGAAGGTGCAAACTCAACATTACCTCAGGCTCTGAGAYGTAAAAAAAACATTCAAGCAGCAGTTTTTTAAATAATTTGCAAGATTTTCTTTATTTGTGATGTAAATGAGGAAATTTTATGTAATTTATGACAATCAGTACAATGTGATGTGTATGAACATTACTGTGTCGAATGTGAACTTATCTTTCACAGATTTATCTTCACATTTCTCAGAATATACTTGAACATGAAATCTGATGGAGTGATTGGTCCAGGCTGGGTTTTTTTTTTAGACATCATCAGGATCAACTTTAAAAAAAGGATTAGCTTTGCGGCACAGCAAAGTATCATAAATCAGCTCTTAGACTGACAACAATTGCTCTTACACTTTGCTTTTAAGTGAGACTGAGACGCTTGATAACAGACTTATAGTCTCAGCTTTTAGCTGAAAGTTTTTTTACACTCGAGTCCATGCTTAACAGAATTATTAAGAGTAATTCTAAGAAATTAGATAAATACGGGCCCTGGAAAACTTTGTAAATGGTTTAAGTATTGTGACATGTTTCAGAGCTTAAAAACTACATAGCTGACAAAATGCACCATTGTTCAGTGTTTTGATTAAATTTTTTATGCGTCTAATACAATTTCTACATCATTAAATCATTTTAATCACCTTTGTTTAAAGCTAAATTCCACAATCAATTACAGAAATTCTCATATTAATTTGAATATCAGTACAGGTCATTTTTATACAATCTTAGCACAATCTTTTGCTCAATTTCCTCCCCCAAAAGTGATGTCACTTCTGTCGACTCATCCTCACAGCTTTTAGTCGCCATTTCTTTTCAAGAGACAAAAAAACTTTATATTTTTACTTTCAATCTAGTGTTACATAACCTCTTGTTGTCCCTCTGATTCTGTTTATGTCAAAAGATTATTTTACCGACTCCATATTTGTCGTGCACTAAGACGGTTCAAAGTGTACTCTTCAGTGTTTGCATGTAAACAAATGGCTTGTAATTGTTGTCAACAAATCAAGACTCTGCTGATTTTACTCAGTTTTTACTTCAACAACTTCACTTTAAAACTGTCAGAGTTTGGGCTTTTTTTTGTATTACCTATGGTTGCTCATCTATGGCCATCTTAAATTGGGTTGACTCCAAAAGTTAACTAGTTTTAGATCTACATTAATTGCTTTTTAATAGTTTCTTTCAAATCTGCTTTGTGACAATACAAAAACAAACACACACACAGAGAGACGTAGTCAAAAACAATGACACCTTCATCTTCAGGGGCAAATATTATTATTATTATTATTATTATTATTATTATTATTATTATTATTATTATTATTATTAACAACAACAACAACAATAAGTACTGTGCGCTAGCAAATACAATAAAAAACTTAATTTAAAGCAGTGGATTACTGGCTAAAATGTCAAAAATGTCACTCCAAACTTACTTGGCTAAAAACAATTTGAATCACTCAGCCAGAAAAATAAAGGTTTTCAAGCCAAAGTTTTATAAACTACGGTGATTGTGACGATGCTAAAAAACACCCCCAGATGTTTAACACCAAAACACAACCCCAGACGTGTTTAGTTTGACACTCAAACAGGACCACAGCTGCAGACCTGCACCGTCATCAGTGTCACTTTGCCTTGAAAAGCTTCCAAGCTGTTGTTTAGGCTGTTTACTGAACAAATAATCTCGCGAATCACACATGCAATCCATTTACAACAAAGAAATATGTCCAAAAAAATAAAAAAATAAAGACACGTCTCAGTCGCCACAAGTTTGGGGAAAATAAAGAACAAAGGCTCATTTATCCGTCAAAAAAACATTTAGGATTGCTTTAAATGACTGTTGTTTATCCCACAATTATGTACAACAGATCATTTCTAGTAAAATATTTTTAAAAGTATATATTAGTCAAATGTTTTTATAACCACATGAACACTTTGTCCAAATTTTAGAAAAGACATTCCACGACAGCCTCTATTACATCCCACAACAACAGAGTACCAGACAACTAAACGAGATTACGCATATTTCCTGTGTAAATAATTGTCCTAGAGCTTTTGTGTTAGAATTTCTCCCTCCTCTACTCTGTGATATGAAGTCGAGCCCCGACACACATTAACTAAGAAGCATGTGAGTGTACTATCAGCGCTCCGCTGAGTCACTGCCGTGGCTCAAACCTGTGCCTGCAGGCGTTCAGCGGTGACAGGTTGAAACAATAACGGTGCTCTGATTACTCACTGGAGCGTTCAGTGTGAGTCACTGCTAAAGGAGACTGTCTCGTCTCACAGGGACTCGTGTGATGCTCATTATAAGTTGCATAAATCACAGATGGGCTTGCTTACGTCAGCGGGGAGAAGGTAAAAGACAAAAAAAATTCCCCAAACCATCAGTCACTTTTTACATGTCTTTAAGGTGTCCGCTCATGTAAAACCCAGGTGAGGGTGGGAGAGGACTTACCTGTCCACAGCCGGGAGCGTTGCACACAAAAGGTTTGTCGTCCCCCATTTTTGCAAAGAGCCTGCAGTGTAACTGTGGAAGAGGAGAAGAGGAGAACATTGTTGCCTGGGCCTTTTCAGGGTTTCTAAACAGACAAATTCTGACAAAAAAAAAAAAAAAGAAAAAAAAACAGGGATGCTGCAGCTTGTAGTCGGAGCAGGAAGCCGAATGCTGTTTTAAAAATAACCCTGGCACCGGAGGAAAACATGCACAGAGGCAGCGAGAAGAAGTTTCCCTGGTGATACTTCCTTCACGCAGAGGGGCTTCTGGTCGGCCAATGAGGAGCTGCTGACAGTGAAGAAGGACAGCTAACATTTACACAAACACATCTCCCTCTGCTGCCACCTTCAACTCATTTACACTTCTAACCACTCGTTCCCTTTATACCACTCCCTCTCTTTACCTCGGCAACACCTTCCTTCTCCCTTCTTGCAGTCACAGCTTCCTGCTCTGCTTTTAGCCGTTTCTCCCTGATCACAGTTCTTCTCATTAACTTTTGTTCATGACGACAGTCGGGAGACAAATTATAGAAAAGTATCAAATAGCAGTTTGATTATCGTATGTCTGGTGCTTTTATGGAAATGATTGCATTGCCTGTGAGAGAAAAAAAAAGATGAAATAGGTCAAAGTGTTAAAAGCCCAACTGTTTAAATGGAAAACTTTACTGCAGCTTAAACTGGAAACTTTATAACACCTCTCGTGATGTTTGTTATTGCCCATGTTGGTGCGTGAATATCTGGAGTTTCACCAAAAAATCTCACGAATCAGTGGACTAATATTAATGACACACTCAGGAAATAATCATTGGACGTACATCTACAGCTGATTTACTTTTAAATTCAACACCATTTTAGATGGCCATCACAGCTAAGCAACCTTAGCAAACACAAAAATGCCTCTAACTCTGCCAGWTTTACAGACATTCAGTTAAAGTTTTGTTTTGCTACTAACTACTGGAGTCACCATGTGCAAAATATCTTGTGAACCACCAGACAGATTTTTTTTWAACTCTCACAAAGTAATAATGTACATCTGTAACTAATTATCTTTAGGAGTCCAATTCAAGAAGCTCTCCACAGCTAACTGACCATACTGTAGGAAACACGAACATGGTTATAACTCAGCCAAACTTACAAATAATGGGCTAAAATTTAGCGTGGTAGTGGCTGAGCCTTATCCCAAATGAATGCTACATGTTGTGGAATACCTTTGCCAAAAACACTGGCAATAAATGTTAAAGTCAGCACTGACTGTATGCAAAATATCTTATGTACCACTAATYGACTTTAACCCACACAAAATGACTATAACTCAAACAAGATTACRGATAATGAGCTCAAATTTGATGTGGTAAAAGCCGAGTTATTCACAAAACAATATTTAATCTCACAATATTGAATGACATTGTGGATAATGTYATTTTTAAAGTTTGACACAAATGGCAAAAACTTTATTTCTCAGCACAAGATGATCTGGGTATAAAACTRGTGTTAAAGCTGTCAGGCAATATGCAGTCCTCAAGAAGTGCTGGGTGTTTAAATATCATTATGAGATCAATGTAAAACAGAAATTTTGTCTGAATAATTTGAAGTGCTTTTACCATTTTTTAGCAGCAATTCTTTTGTCTATGTGATTGCAGCCTGAACAATTTTAAAGATGTCCAAAATAAACACCAGAAGAGGGCTGCAGAACTATTAACTCCTCATGAAACACCCTTGGAGATCCAAAGACGCCCTTTTCCCCTAGCTCCTTCTGAGTAAACGCTCTTATAAAGAGTTAAATATGCACAAGCTGTCATCTGGTTTCTTTTCTTGTTGAGCATCCATCAGCAACTCCACCCTGCCTGCACCGTTGTGCTCTCTGCTCAGCTAGACAAACCTTGTAAAGACAAGTTGGAAAAGTAACAAAAAAATGACTCATTAAAATTAAATCAGGGGAAAAGTCAGAGAGGATGTGCGGGGCGACAACAGAGTCATGAATGTTTTAGCATTCTCAGCTGGCACAAAGTGACGTCTGGACGCTATTACGCAACTCTGTCCCACTGACAGTGCAGGTCGCTGAACAAGCACCTTGTTATGTACACAAAAAGAACAAAAAACAAAGAAAAGCTACCACCTATTGTAGTTTTTTGGATTTTATTTTTATTTAAATTGGCAGCTTCTAAAACGTTGCTTTAAAAGCTCAACACATCMAGATATTCCACAAAAGAAGCCGAGAGAAGAATCTTAAAAATGCAGCTCTGAGATGCTGACCACAAAACCCCCTTTTTATACCTGTTATATGGGTTAACCATGCAGCCGAACATTATTGAGTGGGACAGATTATTCATTTTTTTGGCAAGGCATAAATGTCTGAAAACTTTCCCAGTGTTGAAGTCAGTGCATTTTCCTTCTTCATCCCCCATCTCTCCTTTTGCTGAGGACAACTGCCCCTGAGCCAACACATGATTACTGAAGCCCTGCGCTGGAATACGACACTCCCATGACGCTAAACTCGCAATGGGCCTAACCGTTGTTTCCTTCTGGGTCTGCATCACATTTGCAGGAATAAAGTAGCAAAWAAATAAATAAATAAATACAAGATAGAGCAGAAATTCTATATACGATGGACAAAGGCAACAGGTCAGTGTCGGGGTCTTCACAAACTGTTTCCAAGTTGCTGACTCTGTATGCTGCCAAACGAGATACTCCATCTAACTCGTTATACCGAGGGTGTGGACTAAGCAGGGGAAACAGACACATCTGGCATCAGGAGTGGGAACACATTTCAGAGTTTACATCTTACTTAAGACATGTCCGACACTTACTTGGCTGGCTGGCACAAACACAAAATGTGGAATTTGATTTTGTGGAGAAGACCATAAACACATAAAGGAATGGATGGAAAATCCCATTTGTTATCAAAAGCTGTCATGGCTAAGATTTYGAAAAGATTTAAAGGTACTTAATGAAAAGTCAGGAAAACTGGTCAAAAGAAAATAAATAAAGAAACAAAGTGTGTACTTTTTTTTGTCTCATATTGATGGTTCATGTGTTTATAGGCGATGTCCATGGAAGAGCTGTTTGGAATCAAGAAGTCTGACAATTTCTGATGTATTGTTACATATTTACTGACCTTTTTACAGATAATGACATGCAGTGTTTCCCCTAGGAAATTGGTCTGGGGGGGCTACTTGTTTTATAAAAACTTATATTTTCGTGACTCACCTGCAATTATGGTAAAACATTTACACATACATGA